GTAGCCTGGGCCCAGGGATTCGTCGAGGAGGAGGCGGGCAGCCGCACATGTTGTCTGGCGCCCCCGTGCCCCCAGCCTGGCTGAGCGCGCGCCGCTGGCCATCTGGGAGGGCAACCCCGAGTTCGATCTCGACCTTGCCGAAGAAGCAGCGCGAGAAGGCGCCCCCCGAGATGCCCCTGCCCCCAGCCCAGCGGAACTCACTTCGCTGGCCATCTGGGGTGGTGCTCTTGTCTGAGACTCCAAGCTCGTCTCGGGGCCGGCACAGCGGAAGGCGCATCGCTGGCCATCTAGGGGGAAGACCAGCAAAACGCGCGGCGACCAAACACAAGGCAGCGCCCCTAGGGATTAGCTCGGGATTCTGCGTTCTAGCAATACTCTCGGCGACGGAGCCCGAGCCAACGTCCTCGCGAACTGGCTCAGGGCTTTGCGTCCTAATGCCAGCGTCCACCACGCGCCCTTCCCCGTCCGCGCTGTCATCGCGCGCCGCGCTGTCCAGGGCGTTGCCGTTGGTGGGGATGCGCGCGCCCTCAGCCGCCGCCTGCTCTCCAGCGTCGCCGCTGCCTTGTTCCTGGCCGCCTCCATAAGATAGGCCACCTTCTCGCCGAACGTGCGATGCCATTCGCCTTCCGTTCTCAGGCTATCTTCGCCCGGGCCTCCTGGGGCCGCGCTGCCCTGGCCGTCCTTGTTCGGCCGCCTGCCGAGCGCTGAGATGCAGCTGTCCTCGGCCTGGCCGTCCAAGCGCTTCCACGGCCCAGGGCGGCACGGGCCCCGACGTAGGTGCTTCTTGGATTTAGCAGCGGCGGCGCGTCCGACGCATCGCCGACACCTCGCGCCTCCCTACCCTACCTCCTGCAGGTGGTGCCCCACCAGGATCAATGGGATCTGCATGGGCTCGCCCGCTCGCCGACTCCGCTGCTCAGGCCGCTCAGCTGTGTCATCCCAGATTTCGACCTGCTCGCGCCAACGGCCGGCTACCTTTTCCCTGCCGCCTGCAGCGCCTGGTCGCGCCCGAAGCCCGCGTCGCCCTCGGCCGCCAGGTTGTCCAGTGCGTCCACCGCCCTGTTGCCTCGGGCCGCCCGTCGGTCATCGGCTCCCAAGGCGTCGATGGCTGCGAGGCTGCGATGCGCAGTTTAGTGCGCTACACTATGCAGCGGCACGCCCTTGTCGTTCATCGCGGACCAAATCATGCGCCAGACGTCAGCATGCGCTCGCTTGCCACAGCAGCACCAACGCCCCCCTCGCCCAAGACCCGTCACGATGGCCATGTGATCCGTGTAGATCTGGAGCGTCTCTCTCCCGCCCATGTCCTGCGTCCTGGCGTGCCTCTCGGCGTTCAGGAAAGCCCACGGCTCCGCCCGCTGGATGGTCTTATGCGCTGGCGGCTCCTTTGCCAGCGGCCCCCTCGCCATGGCGAGGGCGCTGCCGTCCGGTCGCGCCGACAGCGCGGCCCATCCCGTCTGCGCCCAAAGCGACCGCCCGAGCTTGGAGCCGTCGCACGCGACGACGCCCTCGAACTCGGCTTCGTCTCCTTCCCTGCGCTCTTCCCCCGCTTTGGTCCCTGCCCTTGCACGCGCGACTGCGCTGCCTGCAGGTTCCGTCCTTGGCCTCGAGGCCCCTTGCCGCGGTCGCCTCGCTGGCCGTCGGTCGCTCGGCTCCTCGCCCGACTCGCCGAGCCCGCCCCCGAGGCCAGATCCTCCTCGGATTCGTCGCAGCCCCAACGCGGGGGCACAAGTGCCTCCGCTGCTGCGCGCTTGGTGGCCCCCCTGGCGTCTTCCGCCGTCGTCGCGTCTCCCTGGGCCCTGCTCTCCTTCGGGTGCCGCGCGCCACTGGGCGTGCTCGCCGACGACTTGGAAGGCCCAGCCGCTGGCAGGGTGTCGGATGAGGCCCCTCGTCCACGCCAGGCTGTCGGGCTCCGCCTCCGCCGCGCGCCGTCGCTTGCAGGGCGCCTGTATGCTGCGCGCCGTGGCCGCTGCGCACCAGTAGTTGCAGCGGCGGTGCGGGGCCCCGCGCGTCGCGCCGCGGGCCTGGCAGCCACCCGACTCGGCCCTGCCGATCTTGCGCAGCCCGCTCTGCGTCCATGAGCCGCGGCGCGCCGCCTGCCTCGCCGCGCTGGCCGCGTGCGCGCCCCATTCGCTGGTGGGCCGCCTGCGCAGCTTGGCCACCGCGGGTGCCAGCGGCGGCCTGGGGGCCACCTGCGCCAGGTCCTCCCCCTGCGTTCGGGCCGCCCACAGCTCGGGCAGACCACTCCCCAGCGCAAGAGCAGTCCCTCTCGCGAGCAGAAGGTGCCCCGCGCGGGCCCGGCACGCCCCGCCTCGCGCAGCGGCGTGACGCGGGCGCCCGCGTGCCCCAGCACAGCAGCCCAGCCGCCTTCCACACGCACCTCTCGCCGCTGCCTCCCCCGGGCCTGCTCCGCGACGGTGGCGTCGAAGGGCCGCCCCCGTATGTCCGTGGCCCACTCGACGATCGGGGCCGCAATCGTTTCGGTGATTGGGTCGCCTCC